TGGCTTTCTGAAGTCTCCGATTTGTTAATTATATATTATTATTATTAATATTATTATGATTATTATTATTATTAATATCTTAGATATTAGAACAAAAACATTTTGAAATCGCTACAAAATAGCTTTCGTGTTTAGGTAGTATGTTGTACCTTTTCAGGCGAATGGTAAGTGACTGTTGATTAAATAATGTTTTAAAAAATGTCAAAAGCAAAAAAAAAAAACCTTTTCGAAAGATAAAGTGGGGGGCTAGTAAGAAAACACTCGGTCACTATTAAAAATAGACCAAAATCTATTTTTAATTCTGACCATGTGTTATGTCAACCCCGCCGCCACACTTTATCTTATATATATCTTACCCCCCGACGTTATCTTAGATAGATAGATAGATAGATAGATAGATAGATAGATAATTCTCTAAAAAAATGCATGCACACTGCAGTAAAGGAAAATTTGTCTTTCGTAGTTTTATCATATTGCGATGACACTGCTGTTGTACGATATTTTCCCGACAGATGGCATTACATTGGCGACCCTTAGAGAAGAAACTGAACATGCATGTGAAGCATCCATCGGACAGTTTTGCCAACGTTGCCTAAAGCAGTAGTTTTGCCGTACTAAGAAATGCTCGGATGCTAAAGGCCTCCATTTTAAGTATCTCTTGTGATTATAAAGTGTAAAGTAATCACGCGATGTTTGAATAAATTTAATATTACAATATCTATACAACTTTTTCATTTCCTAAATTGTGTATACATTTTTTAAATAACAACAAACCAGCTAAGTCAAAATTACAAAGAACGAACATTATCTATAAGTTTAAATGTCCCTTAAGGAACTGTGTTCCTGATCAAACCGGACTCATAAATAATTACATCGGTTACACAACTACATGCTTATCCAGACGTCTTACGTTACACCTATCTGAACACAGCTCTATTAGAACCCATTGAAACACACAGAAATTTACCCGACTCCATTACGAACATACTAGTAGAAAACACAAATATATTAACTGCATCCACCTGCAAAAAAAGACTAAAAATAATGGAAGCTTTAATAATAAAAAAGAAAAAGCCAACTATTAACAATATTAACTACGAACAAAGCCACAATGTGCTAACCGTATTCGGAAATTAAAAACATCCCTACCACACACTAAGACATACACAGAATGCACACACTCAACTAAGCTGATAATCGAATCATCCTTGATAATGGCTAAAGGTATAGCCGAAAGCGCTCGGAAATATAAAACATTTGGACAGTTCTTACACACCCTTTGTCCAGAAAAGAAAGCTCTTGTTAGAACACAAGAAAAATTAAATAAAAAGCTTAACCGTAGTACCTTGTCTGTCGTTTTTGAAACATGCAATATGCATAAATATATATATATATATATATATATATATATATATATATATATATATATATATATATATATATATTATGTATTTAGGCATCAGTTTTTATTGATAATTTCAGATATCCTGTTTGTTTTTATAAGGGTGTTTAAATTTTCTTTTTCTATTTCATTGAGAAAACATACATCAATGAGAATATATATTATATAAATACACAAAATTTTCGTACATGATCCAATAGCCTACCAAATTATATACCTTGGGAAAATTTTAAATTTAACAACCTTAACAGCAACAAACAGGATATCTGAAACATGCATCAATATATATATATATATGTGTGTGTGTGTGTGTGTGTGTGTGTGTGTGTGTGTGTGTGTATGTGTGTGTGTGTACCTCTTTTTATTCTTTTTTTAATTCTTTTTTCTTCTTTGCTTGTTTGCTTTTATTGTATTGTGGAATTTTTACTAGTTCTCACCAAAATAAGAGCCCTTCAAGGTAGAGGTGTTACTCAGGAATCAAGTCAGCAGAACTTCTCCTTGTGTCAGAAACATCATACCTAAGTGGGGATCCAAGCACCAAGACAAGCTCGAACCACTGTGAAGACTAAATCACCCACGAGGATGATTTATTCCTCACAGTGGGTGATTACAAAGACTGCTTGGAGACATCTTCCCATTTTTTATATTGAGTGACTGAAGAACTGTAGCAATGAACTGTATCGATGGGTAAAACACCTTAAAAATTTTTCAGTTTTTTTTGTTTTTTTTTGTATGTGTATGTGTGTGTGTGTGTGTGTGTGTGTGTGTGTGTGTGTGTGTGTGTTTAATCTGTCGGGTTCAGTCGTAAATTTCTGGGTGTTTCTCATTGCGTCAAATGAAACTCACATGGCAGCGATCCAATTGATTTCGACACAGGGAAAAACACCGAGATTAAAAAATGATTTTTTTTTTTTTTCTACGACGCTAAATAATGGCAAACAATAGTTCAATGAACTTAATCAAGTTAAGCAGGTGATTTCCCTTCAGAAATTAGTACCTAATTTACTAAATTTAATACAGTCTATATGTATGTGCCTGTATATGCGTGCGTATAAATATTTACGATTGTATATTGAAACAATATGATCTATGACATAT